ATATATATATATATATATATATATATATATATATATATATATATATATGTGTGTGTGTGTGTGTGTAGATGTACATCCATGAATTAGTCAATCCAACCTAGTTTCTCTAATTTTATAGTTTTTTGTGTTTTGTTTCTTTAACTATAATTAATTTTAATTTCATTTGATAATTATTTTTTATTAATTTTAAATTGAAATAACTACTTTGTGCTACCACTAAAAAATTATGAGTTCGTCTTTACTTAGCATACTAGGTATAATTCTTAGTCTCTTATTCGTCAAACGTCAACCAGGTAATATTCTCAGTTAGGAGACTGACACGATAAAACAGTAGGTAAAGATCATCAAGTTTTACCAGACAAACACCTCTTACTCAGTAAGAAGTAAAAATGTTAACATCTCCAACAAATTCTCCAACATCAAAAAGTGACAATTTTGGGTTTCAATCCAACATATAGATTCTTCAAATTGAAGAAGCAGAAAAGGGAAATATTCTTTAAACTTGGAGAACTCCTTAAAATTTCTTGATGCCAAGTTCGCCTTGGGATTTACGAAGGCAGACGGTCTTCCAGGAGACCTTAGCTTTCGTTCTTTTCAGCTCATCATGGCATCAAAGGAAGCCCCGCATGAACTTTTCAATCTCCTTGGAGATGGAAACAAGAAGAACAAAGATCGAGGTCCAATAGATTTGCATCGAAGACAAGACTGAGGGAATGACTCCAACTCATTTTCTCGGTCCTGTCTTCGATGCAAATCTATTGGGCATTGATCTTTGTTCTTCCTGTTTCCATCTCCAAGGAGATTGAGAAGCTCAAGCGGGGCTTCCTTTGGTGCCATGGTGAGCTGAAAAGAGGGAAAGCTAAGGTCTCTTGGAAGACTATCTACTTTCCTAAATCCCAAGGGGATTTGGCATCAAGAGTCTTACCAGCTGGAATCTTGCCCTTATGGCCTCTCACACATGGAGAATCCAGGGATTCTCTCTGGGTTAAATGGATCCACTCATACAGGGTTAAAGATCGTAATTTTTGGAACACCGCGATCCATGAGCGATGTTGGTTGGGGCTGGAGAAAGATCTTGGGCATGTTGGATAAGATAAGAGACTTTATTGTCTCTCAGATTGGTAATGGCGCCTCCATGTCTGCTTGGTTTGAAAACTGGCACCCAGCTGGCCCTCTTTGCCGACAAATCACCCGTCGTATATCCTTAATGCTAACTTACCCCTCGATGCTCGCATCAAGGATATTATCTGTAATGGTAGTTGGATATGCCCCCACCTACAGGACAGTCCCAACCCCATTCTCTGTAATCCTCTGTCTTTTCTTCTTATGTCCCTGATAAGCTCCTCTGGAGAAAAAGGGATGACCGTCTTACTCCTTTCTCGGTTCATAAAGTATGTGTTTTTGTCATAATGGGCCTGATTCCCACCAACATCTTTTCTTTGAGTGTATGTTCCCCAATCAGGTTTGGAATGATTTTAAGCCCAAGTTGAATCTTCTTGTTGTCCCGGATAACTAGGTTGATACCATCAGAATATCCCAGCAAGCCACCAAATGTAAGACCATGTTATCTATCATTTGTAGATTTATGCTTGGTGATACCGTCTACCACCTCTGGCAGGAAAGAAATAATCGTATCTTCAAGAATAAGAGAAGATCTCATGATATGGTGATCAAGAACATTACTGATGATGTTCGGTCTAGGCTTCTAAGCCTGACCCTTAAACCTTCCCTGAATGTTATCCGGGCTCGGCTTGCCTAGAACCTCCCCTAGTGGTTGGTTCCTCTCTTCTCTCTCCTTTCTTTTCTTCCTTTCTTTCCCTGGGGAGCATTGGTTTCTTTTCTGGTGGATGTGGTTCGTCCCCACCCGAGTGCTTAATCCGTTTTAGCGTTTTTGGTTTTTTTTTCTCTTGATAGGAGAGGCCTCACCCCTCTATATCAAAAAATGAGAGAGAGTTTTTTTCATTCCAACCGTTGATATTTAAACATTTCCGAGAAAAAATTATATTAAATGTATCAGACTATTTTAAATAATGTAACTAATATTATCATATATAAAATTGAGAAACTGTCAAAGTTAAATTTAGAATTATTTTTAAGATTTTTATTTTTAATTCTCTACTTTGTTTAAAATACTCTTAGGTGGTGTTTGTTTTTTAAGAGGTGATGAAGTCTGATTTCACTTCTGATTTACAAGAGCTGGTCCTGAAGTCTAAAATGTGGATCAGTAAAATTGTTTGTTTTTACGTGTGAAGTGTGAAGTGTGAAATTTGAATCAGTCAAACTAGTGCAAAAAATATATAAGATAAATAGTTTTTTACAAAAGTATAAAAGATGAATAGTTTTTGTTAACAAATCTTTTCCAGCCCCAAAATATGAACCATGTGATAGAGGGCGGATTAGGATTAAGAGGTATTAAGGAATACATTTACCACTTAAAATTTTAGAGGATATTTAAAGCTTTTAAGCTCTTATATTAAAAATAAAACAAACGCTTTTAATATCCAAACGTCTAAACGAATCAGACCACAAAAATATTAAGAGATAATTTTGAAAAAATAAATAAACGCTTTCGCTTTGAGTGTTATAAATTTAGAGGACCAAATTTTAAAATGAGAAAGAAAAGGTAAGGGTGAGTAAATTGGTATGTGCATGTGCTAGTCGTAGATTCTACATGGCTCACTTCACTTGTTTCAGCTTCACCGGACACCACCACCTTTTAATATTCAAATTAATTATTAATTATTAATTATTAATTATTAATTATTATTACATTATTTACGAATCAAAATTAACAGAGGCGGTAAGTAAAGCAGCAGCATCTGTCACCTTTTTTCTTTTATTTATATATACCACTACAAACTCAACGCCATTTGAGACCACATCACCCCTTCCCTTCCCTTCCCTTCCCATCCCAACAAAATGGTCTCACCGGAAACAACTCCTCCTCCTCCTCCGGCCACCGCCAGTCCCCGGATTTCCTTCTCCGGCGATTTCCTCGACGATGCAAACTTCATCTGCATTACCCCACAAGATAAAGAAAAGGAGATCAAAACAAGGACCGGCGAGTTTGAGTTTCTGTCCGGCGACTTGTCCAGTCCGGCGACCATGCTGACCGCCGACGAACTCTTCTTTGAAGGAAAATTACTCCCCTTTTGGCAGAATGAAAAGCTGAATAAAATCAGCATAAAACCTGAAAAAGTGGTTGCAAAAGAGGCAGTGACGATGAAAGAAGATGAAAACAACAACAACAACAACAGAATGAGTTGGTTTATCGACGAAGATCCTTCTCCTCGACCACCAAAATGCACAGTTCTATGGAAGGAGCTATTACGGTTGAAGAAACAAAGAGCATCTTCAGTACTTTCACCATCTTCATCCACTTCTTCTAACTCTTCTTCAAACTCCATTGATGATCAAGATTCAAGCAAGAAAGAGAAGCAGCAGCAGGTTAAGAGAATTAAAAAAGGGTTAGAGAGAACCAGATCCAGTGGTATAAAGATTAGACCCATGATCAATCTGCCAATTTGCAGTCAAGGAGGACGAACCAACTCTTTACCTCCTCTTTTTTCCCTTAGGAAAGGTATGTAGGACTCTTCTCCATTTTATTATTAATTAATTCCCTAGATCTTTCATCTCTTTTCACTTGTAATTTTTCTAGGCAAATGGCTTCATAATCTTAATTAAATTGCTCATGTAAATGCACAACTGTGTGGTTGTTTGAATGCATTTCTTTCGGTGTAAACATTCTCGATCATCAAAATGGCACAATCAGAGTGGTGTTGTACACTACCATCTAAGTGTTTCCGAAGAACCGATTACAATTTTGTTCATTCAACTTCAGGTACATAATAAAACATACAACAATTTGGTATTTTTAAAAGAAGAAAACTGTACACTCCTAAGAATATGGAACACTAAGAAATTAATGGGGAACAATTTGGAACCAAAAACAAGTCAGCAAGACGCTTGAATGGGATATGGACACCATCTTTTCTGCTTTTCTCAAAAATCCTGTAAACTTGATTTCAAGATTTTCGATAACATGAATACAAGTTGCGATCATGATCAAGGAATTGGTGGGTCCAAAAATGGATTACCAGGAGCAACCCTGAAGAACAAACCCAAAAGACACAACAACATCAATCACTTCTCCCAAAAACAACGTACGATACTAAATTAATTTTATTGAAATTCAACAAATCACCATCGGTTAAACTTTTTTTCTTTTTAATCGTGGGTGTCCGGACCAGCTTGACTAATACCTCAGGGACCGGAAGATAGGAAAATTCCTATCGGCCCTGAAATGCCTGGCCTTTATTTGCAGGTTGAGCTAGCCCGGAAAAAATATATATACTTTTTTTTTCATTTCCCAACGGTAAGGATAAAATGGAGGTAAGTTCTTACCTCAAGTTCAATCCGGGTTTTAGTGTGAGGCTGGTTGGAACTTGACCGGTCAAATTATTGTTCTGCAAGAATCTAAAATAGACAAAGATACAAATAACATCATTGATCATGGAAGTGGCTATAGAAAATCTCAAATGGATTTAAAGCTCATAGTTGTGGTGGCACCCGACACATGGAACATGGAAAAGGGTACAAGTCTGTTATGTCTGATTATTACAACTAGTACATGAACAAGTCTAGTCGAACAAGTATGTTTGCCCATCAATCGACAATTCTAATTTGCTTCATGCACGTAAATGCTTGCCGGGTAAAAGTCACCATCCCCACTTACCTTACAAGGTAAGATTTCCTAATCGTTAAAAATAGAAATAATAAGCGTCTTTTACCCGGTTAATGCGAGTCACCACCCTCACTTACCGGGTAAGATTCTCAATTAGCAAAATGGCACAACAAGATTATTGGTAAGACCATCATCTCTTACCTAGTAAGAGGTAACAAATATTTAATTAACCGGTAAGAGGCGGGAAATGTTTAGTAAAAAAGCCCCACATTGTGAAATTGCTTGTGTCATAGAAGGATACAATCTTTTTTATGAAAGCTAGAATGGAGAAGAGAAGATTATAGTGGAATGAGTAGTTAGGTAGCGTTTCGTATGCATACATGATTAGATTAGACTATACAGGACATAACTAGACGGGACAAAACAGAACAAGTGTCTGTCTGGTGTCTGGTACAACTAGGACTGAGTAGAACAGAACTATACAAGTTGCCCCTAAAAGTTATTTGATGATTTTATACATCATATAATAGTTATAAATGTCACGAATAAAGTAAATAATTTAATTTATAAACATTTTTACACTAGTAGTCCGGGAGGTATTTGTGGCCGATGTGGTGGAGGTAGTGATGGTGGTGGTAGGCAGTGGTAGTGGTAGCCGATGGTGGTGGTGGTGGTTATGAGTGATGGTGGACGAAGGTACTAGTGGTGGTAGCGATGGACGATGATGGTCGTCAATGGTTGTGGAGGTAGAGGCAGTGGTAGTTGGTGGATGACGATGGTTGTGTGGAGGACGTAAAGATGGTGGATAGTGGTGGTGGTGGCGGCCGACAGTGGTGGAATAAGTAGTGACCGATGTAGTGGAGGTAGTAGTGGTGGTGGGCAGTGATAGTGGTAGCCGATGGTGATGGTGATGGTGATTATGGTTGAGGTGGCCCATGGTGGTAGTGGAGGTGGTGATGGATGGTGGTTGTGGAGGTTGTTGTAGTAGAGGAGAAGGTGGCCGACGGTGCTAGTGGTGGTGGGTGTGGACAGTGGCCGACGGTGGTTGTGGAGTTGGTGATGGATGATGGTGGTCGACGGTGGTTGTGAAGGTGGCAGAGGAGGTTGTTTTAGTGGAAGAGGAGGTGGCCGATGGTGGCTACTGGTGGCCGACTACGGTGGTAGCGGTTGCGACTAGTGGTGATGACCATTAAAACAAATATCATATTAATTTTATATATCAAATGAAGCTATATTATTATATTTTAGTTTCTGTCTCATTTTGTTCTAACTATTTTGGTTGGACAAGAAAAAGTCTCTCTTGTCCCATGCTAGGTCCCACCTTGTCAAGTTCTTCTTCCTGTCCCATGTCGCTCCAAACGTGGAACAATGAGTTCCTGTTCTGTCCAATGCCATGCCAAACATGGAACGGTGAATTTTGTCCTGTCCCGCCCTGTCCCATGTGCCTGATAGGAGCCCTTAGAGACATAGAAGTAAGGTAGCAGGCAGACTGTGGGTAGAGATCTCTACCATGTACCAGGAGGGGAGTAGTTAGAAGGTGAAAGCGGAAAAGGTAGTATGGTGGCAGTTAGGTTACTAGGGGATTTAAGGCCGGAATGGGGTTATCTTAGTTTCTCGTTCTTACATGTAAGCTATTAGGGTAGAAATAGAGATGAAGATTTTAACATTAATAGTTGACGATTCATAAACTATATACATGGTGGTAATGACTTAATTCAATAAGACATGTTACAAATTACTTGTTAACACATTGCAATATGACCCCACAACAAAAAGCAATTTATGCAACATTCAATTGCAATTCAATTCGTATTTGTACTATGAGAAGTAGAACTTACAGTTCTTGCAATCTGTCAATATTTCCCAAAGACGACGGGATCCGTCCATTCAACTGATTGTCCTCCAGATGTCTGTTTGAAAAGATGGAGGTAAAATAAGTCATCTGTACCCCATATATATATATAATTGTACATGGGCTCCACTGTTTTAATATCAGTTTCTAATCTTTTCCAACTAAACACATCTAATCTAAGAACCAACTATATCTTGCTTTTCCTTTTTACTTTACTTGATTTTAGATTGAGAAAAGCCATTCAAAGATGGCTTACAGTTACAGCTACGCTTAACTGCTTACCAAAGAGATCGGTATCTAAAATAACACATACGCCCATTTAACCGATGCATGCTTCTTGTCTAATTAACATGAAAGGGCAACACTTGCACTGCATTCTCAAAACCTTCCCATTCCATCCCTTCTCTTTCCTTCCCTTTCAAAAACACAAATAAAAAGACTTCCTTTTGTTTTCTTCCCGAATTTGAGAACAGAGTCTAAAAGGGGTGACAAATGTGGTGATCATGAAATGGGCTCAACAGTGGAGAATGAAGGAAGAGATGAGAAGCAGATAACTTACAGAGTCTTTAACAACTTCAAGTTACTCAAATCAGGAATGGCTCCTGACAATCTATTGTTCCCAAGCCATCTGCAAATATCACCAGACTGTCAAAACAAATAAAACTCTTAACTCCTCTAAAACCAGTCCAACTTTGCCTTTTAGTTTTCTTTTCCCTTTCTAAAAAAGGGGACGGAGAACTCTACTCGAACTTTGCTTTTTAGTTAGTTCCATTAATGGGTGGCAAAGTTGGAAGCAGAATGTTATCTATAGTATTAGTTCATTCATTCTGCATATTGGTATTTGATGTTGGAACAAAAGAGGGAATCATATGTATTTATATAAGCAGTTTTAGAAGGATATGAGTGGCCTACAAGTCACTTAGTGCAGTCAAATTTGCAATATTAGGAGAAAGAGATCCTGAAAGGTCCATGCTTGTAAGGTTTCTGCACGGAGAGAGAAAAGAAATGAGTCAATACCAAAAGGCCTATTAATTCAATATCTACTTCAACAGAATTAACCATTCTTGGTTAAACCATAGGCTATGTTTGACAAACTAGCTAATAAGTTCACAGTTAGCTTAAAAATGAGTCATGTTTTGGTATAAAAAAAACTAGTTAATAAGCTAGATGACAATGTATAATGACGTTAAAAGAACATGATGAAAGATTAATTGGAGAAAACTCAAAAGTGGAACAAAACCCTTGAAGCTTATTGAAACACTATTTAAAGTAGCTTTTCAAAAACCTAGCGCAACATGGTCTTGATGTAACACATTGTTTCTATAATCAAAATGTTCAACTCACAATCCAATCACACGAATACGAGATCCTCTAGAGCATGTAATTCCAGTCCATGAGTTCTCCAAGGGTAAACAAGGATCACCATTCCAATCAAAAGGAGGGTTCTGAAAACTGTCCTTCAAACCATTCAAGCCAATCACTACAAAACAAGAAATTCAGATAATCATGTCAAAGTTGTGAGCCAAAAAAGAGAATGCAGATGGAATCCATGTGGATAGAGAATAATAGTACAATAAATCAGGTTTATAGAACACCAAAAATGTCATAGTGTCCTAATAGACAACATTATAGGACTTAAGTTTATAAAACTAAACAATTGTGCGTCCTTGGTAAAAGTGTTATAATAAGTCTATATGATATTTATTTGAAAAAGCGTCTTGCTAGAACAATTGTCTTATAAGAACAAGTGTTATAATAACACGCCTAAAAGTGTCCTATAAACTTATTGTAACACTTTTAAATAAACTTATTGTAACACTTTTAAATAAACTTATTGTAACACTTTTAAATATGACGCACAATTGTTAGCTCCTATAAACTTAAAGTCCTATAAAGCAATTTATTAGAAAACTTGGACGTTTTTAGCCTCTTAAAACATAATTTCGTTGTAATGTAACTAGATTAGCATGAAGGACCGAACCATCTCTCGTAAGAGTTCTCCCACCAACTGGCAGCACCTCAAAAATTTCTCCACCATTAATCAGAGGACCACGAGTAGAACCAGGAGCAGGACTCAATATGATCTTGGTGGGGCCAGAAAGCCGCCACTGGTTGGCAAACAAAGCAACACCAGTCATAGAAATGTTCAGATCACGATAGAATGAAACATCGTTTATAGTAATGTTGAAAACTCTTGAAGTCCCAGTGTCATCTGCAAAGTAAAGAGCAATGTAGTAGATTGAGTTCTGAAGAGGTGTAAGAGGCCACTGAAACTCCAAGAGTTGTTCTGGTCGGCTGACTGCGAATTGTGTCTGAAATACTTTCAAAGGAGGGAGGTTCCAGAAGCCATTTATAGATACGTTTTCTCCTCTAGAAAGTGTAGGATTGTTTTCACCATATGGCTCCCAATAACGATCGAATTGATCATCTGGGTACCTATAATTCCATGATATCTGTTAAATTCAGCATACTCACAAAAGTTCAAGTCATATCATAAAGAACTGAATCCACTTCACCCGTTCTCTAACTTTCTTTAAACACAGAATTCATCCTTACCCAACAAGCACTGCAACAGAATCGGGTTTAGGCCGCCAATAGAACTTAGCGCCATATGTAAAAGTATTACAATAAGTTTATAGTTTGCGTCTTACCGAGTATTTTAGGACGATCATCTAAAGAAATAATGTATATAGTTTTTCTATTAATGGAGATGATGAGAATGGGTAGTAATAAATACCTTATTATCGAACCATTATATCCAAAGCTGTGCCTTGCAACCAATCTGAGACTAGAATTTCCAAAGTCCGTTGAATTATACAAGGAATCAGCCAATAGTACAAATTCCATCGCCGATATAAACGGGTCGGACTCTGTATACGTATTCGAAGCCAGACAAACACTCATCGACTTTCCTGCGGCGAGAAATATCCCCTCGTAATACGACGCCGTTCCTCTGGCGTAATCTTCAGTCGTATTGACCACACTCCACAAAGTCCCGTCCACGATTTGATCAAACACCGGCGGTGAAACCTGGCTGTTCACTCCACCATAGTAATACGTCGTCCGTACTAGGTATTTCCCGGTGCGGTACACCGGCACGACATAGCAAAATTTCCGGCGGCGAGAGTTGTTATGGAGGAGGGGAAATGATCGGACGGTGGAGAGGGTAGGAGAGAGGTTGGTCTCCGCTAGGGTTCTGGATGTACCGATTGAAATAAAGCCGGTATCTGGAAGCCATTGTCGATCGTCGATGAGAGAAGTGACGGTGGCACCGCAATCGATGAGTAGAGACCTAGGGGGTTGACATAGGGAAAAGGGGATGAAAAAGAGGGTGGAGAGAAGAGAGAGAAAGAAGAACATGGTGGAATTTGTTGAAGATGGAAGAGTTGCAGGCTTCAATGGTTGAAATGTTGCCCCATGGTTGAATGGAGTAGAGATAAACGTAGTAGTGGAGTTGAAAGGGTCGTTAGTTGACTCGGTATTGGAAGCAACGAATAGCCGGAAAGATGAAGTTGGTGAAGAGGAAGGAATCGACGCGGGAAATAATATATATATATATATATATATATATATATATATATATTTTGGGGTAAGTTACAATTTTGGTCCCTGTACTATTTTTTATTTTCTCATTTTAGTCCTTTGACGTTTTCTAAGTCAAACACATATCTTCGTCACACTTTTTTTTTCTCAAAATAGTAAATTAGGGATTTAGTCCTATGGTTTACACTTTCTACCTTTTTCCTTGGTCTAAAATTAAAATAAATATAAATATCACACTTCTAGTTTACATGTTTGCATAATTGAGTTCCTCCTACCGAGGACATCTCCAGTGCATGACACTCTACCAGAGTGTCATGGACTGCCACATCAGCATTCCACTCACCATACAACTCTATCATTTTATACACACACTCCATAACACTTCAATGAGTTTAATGAATTTCCACATCATATATATATATATATATATATATATATTATCTATAAATATAATTTTACCAACAAATTTAAAAATCTACTAAAAACAAGGAATAATACATTAAAATGAAAATGAAACGAAATATATGAGATTCAGATGAAGGAAGTGCAATCTCTAATTGGTATGATGATGTTGATCCTCCAATACGTGTGCAGCGAGGACCTACCGCAGAAATTCAATATCAGATTCAGATGAACTCTGAACTACGTGATTCATCGGTGCATCACTCACTTCGACATGATTTAACGGAGCATATTTGGGAACATTATTCACAAGC